GTTGAAGTAGGTCCATGAAGGGGTGACTCGGTTGTTTTAGGTAGAGGATGGTGTTCTCTATGCCAAAGAAATGAGATCCTATGTGCCGAAGTCAGGCGGACTTCGACAGATGTTGCTGAAAGAAACTCATGATGCTCTGTGGTTAGTACATCCAGGGCAGTAACGGACTCTTGTCTTGCAAGCAGAAAGCTATTATTGGCCCCGCATGAAAACAGATGTGGAGCTGTATGTGCGCACTTGTTTGGTGTGCCAGCAAGACAAGATAGAGAGGAAGAAGGTGGCGGGTACTTTGAAACCCCTCCCTATTCCAAGCAGACCTTGGGAGAGTATTTCCATGGACTTCATCAATGGCTTGTCTCAGGTGAACGATTTTACTTCGATATTTGTGGTTGTAGATAGATTTTCGAAGTATGTCACTTTCATTGCTGCTCCAAAAGTATGTACGGCGGAAGTTACTGCTCAGTTGTTCCTCAAGCATATTGTGAAGCTTTGGGGTCTTCCGCTGGACATAGTCAGAGACAGGGACACTAGGTTTACTGGCCGATTTTGGACAGCTTTATTTGAATTATTGGGCACACAGCTCAACCTTTTCACCAGCAATCATCCGCAGACAGATGGGCAGACTGAGTGGGTTAATGCAATGCTGGAGGAATATCTCAGACACTATGTCACAGCAAACCAAGACAATTGGGTGAATTTACTTGATGTAGCCCAATTCAGTTATAACCTCCAATAGAGCTCTTCCACTGGAATGAGCCCATTTGAGTTGGCAACTGACCAACAACCTCTTACCCCGCATGAAGTTGTCAAGCAGAAGTCTCAAGGGAGATATCCTGCAGCGTACCGCTTTGCTCGGGCCAATCAAGAGCGAACCGACGAGGCAAAAGACTGTTTAACTAAGGCGATGAAGAGGATGAAAAAGTGGGCAGACGAGAAAAAGAGTGCAGTAGAGTTCGAAGTGGGTGACAAAATGATGCTGAAATTGACCCCACCAATCTGGAACAAGATCTCTCAAAAGTCGGCACACAAGGGACTAATCCAGCGCTATGACGGCCCTTTCCTTATAACAATGAGAATTGGCAGGTTGGCCTATAGGCTGGATCTTCCCAATCGTCTTAAGCTTCATCCAGCTTTTCATGTTGCCTTCTTGAAACCTTATATTGAGGACCCGGAGGACCCTAACAGATATGTTCGGCGTCGGGCTCCTCCAACAATCAGGAAATAATTCACAGAAATAACTGAAGCTATCCTTGACCACAAGACTGAGGGAATGAGTAAGAAAAATAGAAGAACTCATTACCTAGTCAAGTGAAAAGGGAAAGCACCAGAGGAAGCCACTTGGGAGAAATAGACGACATTGTGGCAGTTCGAGGATCTCATCAAGTAATACCATGCCTCCATTCCAACAGGGTCGTTGGATACTTCAGGTGGGGGTGACTTGTCACACCCTAACTGACTTGGGTGCAAATGGCCGTCTTGGTGACACCTTGCACCAAGGCATGCCATAAGTTGAAATCAAGGTGATGCGGCTAAGTGGTTCGACAGATTGGGGCAAACCAAGGCAGCATGAGAACACCAGGTTGAGCATGACAACACGTGGTGGGCTCAATTGAAGCAATGTGGGTGCATAGCTTCGGATTGCATGGCATGGGTTGAACCCAGCATGCACATTGGTTCGTGTAGCCAGGCTGACTGCTGAATGTGGGCACTTGACTGGCACATGACTGTTAAATGCATGGGACCAGGAGGATGTGGGCGGTTATGATGCTGAGACACAGTCAAGGCAGTTGCTGAGGTAGTTCTGGGCGTCCCTAGTCTGAATCCAGTCTAGACGCATACTGATGAAGGGCAGTTCCACAGCACTTACTGAAAGTGGTGGAACTGTCTGCCAGGTGTCGCACGAAGACCAAGCCTGCTAGCCCAGTATGCTATGGAATAACAAAAACGTGTGTAACTACCCCTTGGCAGATGAGGGTGTCATCTGCCTTACTCCTGTATAAATAGGGGTGCTTGAGCATTTTGATGAGGTAGAGAGTGTTCTGGCTTTGAGAGTTCTTGTAAATTGTTGAGTTCAATATATAAGGTTTGAAAGTTTTGTCTCAGTAAACTCGTGTGTGCCTTCTGTGTGAGTTTCTGTCCTTTATTCTTGAGTTTGAGTGTGGTTGGTTGCTGTAGCAACGCCTTCACAGATAATCTCGAAGGAAAAACGAAAGTTACCCTGTGACACTTTGAACGGTGGTTTTTTGCCATTGGCCACCCCTTGGAGGTCTCTCTGAACCACAAATACTGCGAGACTTACAATGGAAGCAAAACTCAATTATACTTTAAAAATCCTCACTCATGAAGAAGAAGGGCTCCATAGTGGCTTCAGGTTGGGCATGAAATATTTGATGTTTTTCATTGGCCTATTAAAAGCACAAGTTTGAAACAAAAAGAAAAAGTGGCTTTTCCATTTGCGTATATGCAGCTTATCGTTTATTCCCACGAGTGGCCATTCCATTCTTTTACATGATATGACTCCTTACTCCCTTTGGGACATTAATTCTATCATTGGCTATATAAATAGGCTAAGACTAGCTATGACATCGAAGTTGGCATCATATCAAATTTAAGTTGTAAATATAAGTTAGTAACAGTTTATTTTGTGATCACATTAAAACTCAAAACGATCAGTTATAACTCCACATGGTCAAGTGACGATTCTCACAAAGTTTGAATCGATCACACAATGTTAGAATTGATCTCAAATAATTCTCTCTTTTTTTTTCGTAAATTCATCAGAATGAGTTGTAATCTCATTTTTGTTGTATAATAATTGTCAATAAAGCATAATGAAGAAAAAAAAATTATGTAACCGATCGATCCAAATAATTGGAGTTAAAGTTTTATTAAGTTGAGTTATGTTTTTGATTTAGCGTATAAAAATTAACTCTGGTTACTGGAGTGCTACCCACCCAAATAACTATATTCCTCCCTAAGAGACTGAGGGACCCCTTGCTAGACCCAAGTCTGGATGAAAAAAAATATTTTAGATGTTTACACTAATCTTGCTTTTGGCCGACAATATCTTTTATATTTCTTTTCTAATTCTAAGCCACTATGAATGGTTTATAAACTGTTGTATGATGTGAGGGATGCCCCCCCACTAGTCTTTGGTGTGCTCATTTCACTAGTCTTCTGTGTGCTCACTTCACTAGTCTTCTCTGTGCCTAACCTTTCATTAACAAGGTAACCCTAGGGCAGACCAAGATTGATCATGGATATGGCAGTTTAGCTGCCATAGAGTCTAGAGGGTCTCATGAATGACCCACCTGCTGGGCAACTATTTGTGACTTATTTACAAATAGGTTACTGGACAGTGCCAAAACTAAAAGTTTATTATGACGGGTTAAATAGGGGAATAATGGGAGACTTCATTCAATTGAGTCGTACAGTAAGTCATTGTTAATGTCAAAACAGTTAAGTTGCGTAGAACTTGAACAAAATCAACTTGCATATGATCTCATTGCACAAATTAATTTGGATTGTAAAATTTTAAAGATAATTCTTACTTTCTAATAGTATCGGGGTGTGTCCCATGTGGGCTCAATTACATCCGTTGATGCCCGACTAAGATCAGGTAGGCTTCTGGGCTTACGTGGTGATGGGCTAGGACTATCTCACATCGGATAGTCTTCGGGTGTGTGTGGGTTATATAGTAGAAGTGTTGTAATTCTCTTATGATCAAAAAAAAAAAACATAGTATAAGTCAATTTGTGACAATATTGTGATCCATGATTCCTTTATTTGTGATGACTATGAATAAATTACCATTTGAATAACAGTTTCATAGAATAAAATTTAACTATGAGTCGGTGTATTACGAGGGATATAAGTCATGTTTGTAACTAGATCTTCCATTAGTTTCATTTTTTTTTTATCCTCAAACTCATCAACGTATGTATGTTCGTCTGTGAGAGTAATACTCCCCTATACAAGTCGAATATCTTCAATGCAATTATTAAATATTAGGTCCTTAGAATTTTTGAATATACTAAATGAAATTAACTACGTACAACCTCAAAGAGGTATATACCAAGTCGTTTGAATAGCAAATATTGTATCATTACTCGACGTAATTTGTTTAGATCCGATCCAAACGGGTTCAAGTGCTTGAAGAACATATCTATCAAACCAAATGCAATTACCTCCATTACATGTTCCCTTAATTCTTCTTCTATATTATTAATTGAATCTTGTGGGTCTATTGAGCAAACAATAAACACATTTCCAGTTATGGCATATCGAGTCACCACTTAATAGCAGGGATGGCCTTCTCTTTATTCCTCCCCCTCACCCTCTTGGCTAGGAGAATGGGCATATGGTCCAAGATGGGTTTAAAAAGTACTTCCTCCAGGACTTTGAAAAAATATTCTTCCTCCTATTCCCTCTAAAACCGAGAGTTGAAACCTATGCAATTTAGAAAGAGAATGACATTCTTGGTTTTTTGTACGAGTGAACATTGCCACATTTAGAGGTAAAATCCACCAACTAATTTCTCCCCACAAATTCAAAAAAATGCCTCGTACTTGCTATAACTCGGCTTCCTTATAACTTCTCAGCTGAGAATCTGAAACCATTGAAATCACCTCCTTCGAATTGAAGATCTTGAGGGGGTAAACAAGGTAAAGTGGCTTCTTTCATGCCTTCATCTCATAAACTCAATAAAGCTTTACTAAACAAGTGAGACACAATACCACAATAGTAGAGGTAGTGGACATAGAGATAAATCATGTGTGTCCAGCTTCTTCTTTGGACAATTTTTCTGAGGGGGACGACGAAGCACCCCTGTAGCTGGTCTAATTTCGGCCCATTCTGCAATCATTCAACACAATTCTGATTGAATGCAGATGCAATGTGTGCTTCCTTGGCTGGGTTAATGGTCAACCTAAACTCAACAGCTTAGACATGGCATATGCTTTTGAGAGCTTAAAAACCTTTTCTTTCCCATTATCTTTACACCACTGAAAAAAATAAATAAAAATGATCGAAACAGAAGATAAACACTATAGCAGCCAAATGATAGCGCGAGAAATAATCCTTCTTGACTGTAATTGAAGATTTAAATCTTTGATTGTCAAGAAACAGCATCCTATTCAAAAGCTTTTTAGGAGTTTCACCCTCAATCACAAACACATACAAGCACTTCTCATAGCATCAAATCCCAAATGGATAGAACAGCTTTGGTTCTTAGCATAGTACCTAGTTAAGATGATCCTAATGGAGGACATTTGTGGAGCTAACTTAGATTTTCTGGATAACCACTGAATTGGCAAGGCCTGCCTTCTCTATTGTCTCAGTTGGATCAGAGAGTTGTTTGGGAGGGAAGCCAACAGTCTGCAGCTGATATGTCCCGATTCCCCCAGGCCTAGATGCATCTATGAAGGCACGAATGTCACCTATCGTATGGTGGTGGTTAAAATGAGCAACCATGCGTGTCCCATCAGCCAATCTGAGTTGAATCGAGGTAGATGGCAATGTTTTATCCACAACTAAACCCATAGATGGGGTTGGAGCAGTGTTGAGAGGAGCGGCAACTGTTGGCTCTGGTGCCGCTGAAGCCGAGCTGCTTCCAAGTGTTCTTCCCACACCTTGAAACGGAACCTGGCGTTTCTCAGGTTCCTGCAAGAAATTAAAGAAAAAAAATCCTTTAGTAACATTAATATCCTCGAGCTGATCACAGCATATATGACAACGGGAATTGAAGCAAACAGGAATATCACATATCCATTCACCACTCGCTCCTTTCATGTTAAATAGCACTCAACTATGCTATCTTGGTCATGGTCCTTGTTTGGTGTCCTATTTCATTCTATTCTACCATCCCACCAGTTTAAGAGCGGATCACGCAATCCCATTTCTTTTTCCTTTATTTTGGTTGCCTCAGAGAGGGAGAGGGGGAGGGGGGGCAGATTATATGACTGGACGCATAATCTTGCAGAAAATGAATAAAATGAGTCAAATACTTGTGTGAGCAACAACAGAAGGGAAAAAAGAAAAAACACAAAAAACTGATATTGGAGGCTCACAGGGCAGTTCTCATCCCTTCTTATGAGATTGACATGAACAGAGGACCTCCTATCCGCAGGCTCGAGCTCTTTTGGACATTCGGACTTTCTGATGCTCTGCATTGAAGTAAAACATAATCATGAATAAAAAACATCATTCCAATCCAGGAAAAAAAAAAGGGGAAGAAAGGAAAACATCATCCTTTACAACAACCTTAAATTAATCTTTATCAGACAAGCATGAGACAAAGTAAGTCGAAAATAACAAGGGTAACAATCTACTACCTTCCAAAAAAGGTAGAAATCTATCTGCATGATTGATAATGCTTCATCTTGTACATATGCAGGCAAAAAAATTCAATTTTTTCATTATACACTTTTAAGGCCACATGCTTAAACCAAAACAATGGGCTTTGTCCCCCTTTTGTCATTCTAGCCAGAAAAATCAGAACCAATAACGTTGATAAATCAGTTGTTTGACATTGCTTACTGTTACTTTGTCCTTAACTAGAAGAAAGGAAGAAATAAGAAGAAAAATAAGAAGTGACGTGAATGCGGGGTGTTGTGGAGTTGTGGTGCGCAATGAACTCTACTAAGTTACTTGCAACTATTCCAGAAGCATAAAAATTCAGACACACCACATTAACTTGGATACAGAACACTTGATGAGTGATTCTTTATTCATTTCTCTTTTTGGCGGTTTGATTGCTTTGCTTATTAATATTCATCCCCTAGACCTGCTCTTACCTCCAAGAAAGGTGCATTTTCAGGATCATCCAACCTCCTCAAAGGTCCATCATTTACCGTGAAACCATTTCTCCAGAACACAATGTTGTGTACAACAGCCTCAGGCTGCTGAGGAGCAGAGGGTACTGATTCCCCTGAGAGTAATCTTCCAGTTCCAGTAAAGCTTGTTGAGCTTGAAGATGGACGAAGATTTTCCATGGGACTTTCTACGGCACCCAATTGCCTAGCTTGGTCAAAAATTGCATCCACATCATTACCCTTTGAAGGATCTTGAACGAGCATGCCACTGCAAATATTGGTAACATATGTGAGGCAACCGTTATGTATCATAAACATCTACATCAACTTACAGAAGTGGGATCCTCTTTTTTAAGCTCTAAAAAAGATCAAGAATCGAAAGATAGGAGAATGGAAATAACTCATAAATAAAAGATTTAATAGGCATGACGTGCATTCAAAAAATTGAAACTACATAATATAAAGGCCATAATGGAGGATCCGTGTTGCTTTGAAAGAGATTCCTTACTTCACAAAACTAACAGCTTCGTTTTCACTAGAAAAATTCTCCACTAAATATGTAACAATGCCCACCAGCTAGTTGCAGTTATGAAAAAAATGCAAGGGCCCAATCAAACTTCAAAATTTGACCCTAGCAAGATCATATTCGTCAGCATTATGAGTTGACTTTTGGATTCAGATTTATCAGCCAATTCATATAAGCTACTCACTATCGTGTAAACCCTGTTGCTCAACAGCCTGGCCATCAAAAGTATTATCTTTAGTTATCACATGCACCATTGCTCATAATATAACTTCAAAATAGCCCACTGGAATTCCATATGAGAGTCTTTGTCTTCTTTGTCGCCACCTTCTCGGGAGAAGGGAGCATGACAAACAACTATGCAAGGGCTTCGATAATATGAAATATCTCCTTTCTCTAACAAATCACGTATCAGCAAACAAACTTCTTGCAACTTTGAATACACTTGTGAGAAGACACATACTCTTTCAAATGCAAGACAAAAGGAATTAATCAGAGCTGCACATCCTTTTCCTAGAATAGAAACTATTATCGAGTGACTAAAGAAATATGCTGCATTCTGAACTCCAAAGACATGATGGAGTGAAAGGTTAATCATGACCGCACTCTACTTTGACTACAAGAGTTCCTATTTGGACAATAAAATTGACTACAGTGTTCATCAAATGATATCACTGCTATCAACAGTAAAACTAAATCAAGAGTCAACCCCATTCAATATTTCTCGGTCACCACACTCGGTCTGTAGGCACTTAATTTAGGCCCAAATTACATAGCCATACAGATACCAAAGAAGCAGAGAACATGGAAATCTTAAACTATATATATCATGCTAAGCAAACGAAATTCTTTTCCTCCCTTAGCATGCCTATGGATTGTAAGTTGAAAATCTGCATAGACTGAAGTCCTAAACTCATCAACTTCCCATAGGCACCTAAGGTCATGCTATACTTGCCTATCATATCACTCAGGCAACAACCTAGCAATACAACTACCTTAGCCAAGTTCTACATAAGCTAGAATCAACTTCACAAAATTAAAGTTTACCTCTTAATTGAGCCATTTGCAATCGATCAATAGCACAGAAAAATTCAAAGCCTTTGGCACTATTTATTTTAATCAATTCAACCAATTCTCGAAAACCCAAAATTACACCACTATAATCTCCTATCCGATAAACCGACTCAGAGCCTTAAAAAAAAATTCCCTGCGTATACACACAGATCACATACCTAATTTGAATCCAATTCCAAAGTAAGATAAAGAATTCGAAGATTCATTTCTTTCCATCGATTTCTCAGCAACCAAACAGAACAATTAATCAAAGGTAAGTGCGTCAATTGTAAGACACTGTTCTTAATAATAACAACAATAAGGTAAGAATAAGGCATGAATAAGCTAGGGTTTTAACACGAGACCTTTTTTCGCCCCCTGTGTAATATTCTTGAGGGCCATCGGAGTCACTGTCGGAGTCGTGACCGGACGGTCGGTTCAAATCGGAGAGGGTGCGGATACCACCGGTTCGACTGCTGGAGGGTTTTGAGCTGGGTTTCTTGTCCCGCGAGGACATCGTCGTATTCGTCCGCTACTGCAACTTCGAGGGAGAGAGAGGAGAGAAAAAGAATAGGATGCGTTCTGATCCTTCCAATTTAAAGGAGAGAGAATATGATACTGTCTTTGTGCCTGTGGGAATGCGATATGGACAAGTAAGGGGGTGTTTGGATGTGCAAATGAGTACAAAATCATTTGGATTGGGTAAATTGCACCAATAGTATTTGTGTTTGTCATTTGTTACACTTTTGTCCATAAAATAATAATTTTATTAATTTTGTCTTCCATATTGACTCTCACTTTGGTCTTTATCCCTAACTATCGTCCAAATAATAGATAAAAAATGTCATGTGTTTGACATATGAGGGTAGTAAGGGACATTTTTAGTATTTTACAACTATTTGTGCATCCAAACACAATTATTTTTGAACTCAAACATCCATCTTCTTCTTCCCTTCTTTTTTCTCTTCTCTCCCTCACATGCATAAATCCTTCTCTCTTCCTCACACATGGACATCTCTATCTCTCTCTTGTTACTAGGTCTCCATTCCCAAACCCAATACATTTCCCTATCTGTTTCTCTCTTCTCTTGTTACTTTGTCTCCACCCCAAACCCAACACACCTCCCTCTTTCGTCTCTTGTTACTGTGTTTCTACCCCCCAAACCCAATACAAAAACCACAAATACACATCCACAACATAAACCCACAATCACACACACCCACATGAATTGAAAAGTTGATTTTCCAAGGCCTCCATGGGCAATCAAGCCCCAATTATTTCTAAACCCACAATTTCAGCTTTGATCTCTAAATTTTTGGGAGTTGTAGTGGGCGATACTTCTAAGCTTTGCGAGAGAGAGATTGTTGATTAGGGTTAATACCCTTGTTTGTCTTGCACTAAACGAAGAGTGTGTGTGCGTGCGCGCGCTTGAATTGAAGTCGAAGTCGAATTGCCTGTGGAGCGAACTTGAATTGCCTTTGTGCATATGTGTGTGTGTGTGTGTGCATGTAATCAGAGAGAGAATAGAATGTGCATCTACGTGAGTATGTGATTATGCACGTTATGAGAAAGAAAGAGAGAGAAAGTGTGGGATGTATTTCAGTTAAGGGATAGTCTTTGAGTCCTATCGATTGAATTGTTGGCAAGCGTTTAAGGGAAAACAAATGAGAAGTGGTTGTTGGTTTAACCTTGTTTATTGGTTTATGTCTAAATAGTTGCTTTTCTATTTGCGCCCCTTATCTTTGAAAGCATAATGACAAAAATGCCCCTTAATCTCCTTATGTGCCAAGCACATAACATTTTTTGTCTATTATTTGGACAATAGTTAGGGATAAGAATCAAAGTAAATCAGTGTGTTAACATAGAGGACGAAATTGATGAAATTAGAACTTTAGGAACACAGGTGCAACAAGTGACAAACCTTAGGGACCATAGATATAATTTACCCTTTCAATTTTCATATTTTGTTTTTTTTGGTTAAAAGGATGGTCACCCGACTAGACGTATTTATCAACTTAGAACGTTATCTTAAAATATTCATTCACTATAGAATATTTTATTTCGTTGTAAAATGTTCACTTTAAACTATTACTACTGACTTGGGTAATTGAATTCGTCAATACAACACTATCGAAAACAAGTTGGATATCCAACCCCTGTAGTAGTATCTGATTTATAAAGACTACTATTATAAATTGGTTTGAACCCATGACCATTGGAGGAAAACAGAACTTTCAACCTCTGGTGAAGCCAATTAGATTGCCACCTCATGGTTCAATTTTGGTGTTCTCAACATTAACCACAATTTTGAGTATAATCTTTTATTTTTTATTTTTATCAAAAAAAATGGTAATAATTTATTTTTATGGAATTTATTGACTAACAAGTGGACCAAGCCCCCTAGTTATACAGTAATTTTGTAAAAGGTTGAACTATAGATAAATAAATATATACATCACTAAAATTACCTAAGGTGCACTTGATTTGGATATAATTTTGGATATGATTAGATTGTTCGATCCAATTCGGTTTATTTCACGTTGATTAATTGATATACGTGTTATCATATACTACATTAGACATTGAATTAAAGTTCGACTGAAATAGTCCTAATAATATGACAACTTTATGGTTAATAAAATTCATATCACTTGGTAGAACATGATAGTCAACCCAACTCAATAAAAATACTGTTTTAATATAATAAAAACATATAATTCATATAATCAGTTCCAAATAATTAAGAAGATCAAAGTTTTAAGAGTTGAAGGACTATAATTGAGTCAAACTCCTCGCTCAAAAAAAAAAAACTTGATAAACATGATTCGAATTCGCAAACTTCGTCTATATTAATCATAGTTTGTAGCATTTGTGACAAAGGGCTTGTTTGGATGAATTTTGGGGAGGAGTTTGGATTGACTTCTCCAAATTTTTCAAATTTAAACCCCGATTTGCAAAGATAAGATTCAACATTCAATCTCCATGTTTAATTTACATGTAAGACCTACAAATATATCATAATTATTAACAATTATTTGTCTTATAAATAATTATTTTATACTTAATCAATATAATTTATACTCATGTTAAAACATCTCCAAGAGATAATGTAAAGCACAAAAATAGCTAAAATTTACCTGACCAAAGCAAAAAATCATACTTCAACAGATGTTTTTTAGATATTCTAAAATAAATTTTTGCTACAGTGATACTCTAAAATAAACATATTTTATCTCTCTTCCTCTCCTTTCTTTCATTCTCTCTCTTTCTTTCTTTTATTATTCCCAAAAAAAAATAATATAAAAGAAATAAGAAATAATATTTAAAAAGAATAGTTAAAAATAGGGTTAATTACAAATTACACTCCGAAAGATTATTCGAATATTAATTTTCACCATCAAAGATAAAAAATAGGTCCAAATGATTAAGTGACAAACATGAGGGGATTTAGGTATAATTTAACAATTTAATTTTAGGCAACAAACTGACGACAGTTAATTTTAAGTGCACATTGATAAAAATTTCTATTTTTGAGGGTGTAAATTGAGATTTTTTATCTTTGGAGGTCACATTGATACAAATTTCTATCTTTGAGGGTATAAATTGAGATTTTTATTTTTTGGGGTGTACATTAATATAAATTTCTATTTTTGAGAGTGTAAATTAAAAATTTTTATCTCTGAGAGTGTAAATTAAGATTCGAATAATTTTTCATAGTACAATTTATAATTAACTCTTAAAAATATAGAAAATATATTGGAGTGTGTATTAAAAAAGTGAGTAATTAAAATAAAAAAAATTATTTTTAGGTTAACTAAAATATAATTTATTATTAAAAATACTCCCAAGGAGTACAATTATCTTTTTGAATCCTTAACTCTTTATCCATCTTTTCAAAGCCAACTATATTTGACGAAACTCTTCATCCTGAATTTTTCCCATTTACCAAACAGCCTCAGTGAGTGCATTCTTGAGCTTACTTTACTGTTAAGAAAATTTGAATTTAATAACTTTGCCACTTGGTCTTTTTGGGACTTATTTATTCTCCTGAGAGAGAGAGAGAGAGAGAGTGACTGTTCTTCTCCCATGACGGACCCTGCCGGTCCAGAAGAACCGAACCGGGCTGGCGTTTGCAATGACGAGAGCCCTCTAAAATACGCTTTCGACTCGGGGTTCTTATCCGGCGCACACCCTCCCGATGCTCCGAATAGCATCGACGCCGATGATGGAAACTCTTCAAGTCTTCACGACTCTGACTCGGAGAGTTCCGACTCGGTCACCCACTCGAAACGGACGGCCGATTTGGCCGCGAGTTTCCGAGTCTTCTCCGAGTCGATGTTGAGAATGGAGCTGGCAGAGCTGGAAATGATCAAGGCCATGGAGGCTTCGAGGATCGAAGCGGAGAAAAGACGAGTCGGGTTAGACAATGAGTTGACTCAGATGATGTTGCAGACCCAGTTACAGATTGCCTCGTTTCTTTCGCGGACGTGCACGAATAGAAAGAGGAAGCGTTCCAGTGAAGATGGGTTCTCAAGTTCCGGGAGGTAAAGTTGTCAGTCTCTCTCCAATCTCAATTTATTTATACATTTATGATCTGGCGATTTGACTCAGTGAGTTGGTATTTTGACTCAATGCAGAGAGGGAGCTATGTTGCTGAGTTCATTGCTGTGCAATTTGATCTGATGGACTCTATAGGTCATAAAGTTGGGCTTGTGTGTGTGTACTATGAAGGTTTTCAAGTGTAACATTTATTTCGTAATATACCCATACCCAATATGACGATTATTGATAATTATGAATGATGTATAAACTTTAAACCATGGAAAAATGATTGTTTAACATTGTGATAGGCGTAGAGTTTGACATTGAAATCTTGTGTTATTTTTATGCCGCCATGAAATTGATACGCCCACGCCCTCCTGAAGTTATTCTGATTGTTTCAAGGAGTTTATATATTATATATTATTAGTAGTTATCATTGAGCTTGAACGTATGCCTTCTCTGGGGTTGTTTGTCTTATTCCATACCTTTCTAGACATGGTGTAGGTTAAGCGATCATAAAAGGTTTCCACTTGTCATTTTATATGTATTTATTCTTAGAAAAACACTAGTAAAATTTCATGTTATAATATTTTGTTAAAAAAAAAACATTTCCCTTCACTTCTTTCTATGATTATAGCATTATAACTTGTATGTTTCATACTCTAAACCTTTAGCTGTAGTTAATTTGGGAGGGAAAGCCCACCGTATCGAAAGTTAATGGTAAAGTTAAATCTTTGGTAGGAGAAGCCATAATTGGTTGGGAGAATTTCACGATCTTTCATGAAATTTCATTGAACGATTGTAAATCATATTTTCCTATTGTGCACTAATTTATATTAAACCGGGAGTTGTTATACCTTTTTAACTAAAGCTTGAGGAGACGCAAATGAATTCAAATGACATCATGCTTCGCCAAAGCTTGGGTTTTTGAGCTCATTTACAGAGTTGGTGATCTCTCAGCTACAACAAAGAAAAAGATATATAACTTCAAATAATTGCAATGTTCAAACATACAATCACAAAAGAACATAAATTGCTAGACTTGCAATGTTCAAACATTGAACCGTAAAAGACAGTGTAAATTTCTGTTTAGAACGGAATTTGGAAAACAAAAATGGCAGATTGTCAAATCTACATTTTTGCAAAACAATTCCCAAACTTCAGTCCTGTTTTTTGCTCGACACATATACAACTACTGGGAAAAAAAAAAAAGGAAAGGGGGAGGGGGAGGGGATTCTCACTCGAATAAGCATTCTACTAATCATATGTTACAGGACAAACAAGTAAATATAAACATGCTATGGAAGCAAGATAGCTAATTGGTTTACCATAACTATTAAGGCTGGTCCTAAAATAGATTAGTTCCATCAGCAACACCCGTCTCGAAACATGGACAATTAATTGGCTTTTAAACAATTACTCATATGAAGTCAAACTGGGGTTTCTTTGCAAGAGGATTAGGATTTCGGATCTGGTCAGCGACACTAAGAGCTCTGCGTCTGTTTATAGCACTTTCGATATATTCTTGGAGAGGTGGAAGAGACACTTGCCCGTCTTCTTTATTTGCTTGTCCTCGAATAACCTACCATTTATTTGAAAAAAAAAAAACTGGCCAACCATTCTGTAAGAAAACAACATATGAAGAGCTAGATTGATGTTACCTTTGATGCCCAGTGCCGCTCTGCTTGCTGGCACACATCTTTGATATCCCGTCCTGACATTCTGAATTCAGCAAGTGCAAGTGAGAAGTGACATGGTAAAAAGGCATCAACTAGCATGAAGTTATACAAAACCCCACATTTTATAACATTATTATTATTATTATTATTATTATTATGGGAGGGGAAAGGGAATGAGAACTTAAACCCTTGACCTCAAGAAGACAGTCTTTATAAGACAAGGAATACCATTGGACCAAAGGCTCATAGGACGGTAGACGACTAAAAATGGATGACAGATGACTAAACCCAACAACATTAAGTTACTTTGCAATGTTCAATACAGTCGGCATCATTTACTTTCAAGAAAGCAAACAAGAGAGGGAGAGAGAGAGAGAGAGAAGAAGAAGAAGAAGAAAACAAAAGAAAAGAAACAAAGAATGGGACGAAAATAAACGGCACAATAAGAAAGATGGTTTAAATTGCATATTGATTCAGCCAAGTCATAAGGAGATTAGGATAAATTGACGGAACATGACAAACTTACTCTTCTGTTGCCATGGCAAAGTCAGTTAATTCTGCTTTTGTCAAGTGCTTTGCATATTGAGCCGCTATTTCCTGACGAGTCTGCTGATCAGGTAGCTCAAAAGTAATCATAGAATCAAACCGACTGAAAGAAACCGAATAAACGGGAGTTAGAAAGTCATGAATCAATTAAGGGTATAACTAGTGTATAGAGGAACATGTGCACCAACATACCTAATTAAAGCAGGATCAAGATCTTGCTTTCTATTGGTCGCTGCAACAACTACCACTTTCTTCTCTTGCTCAAACCCATCAATCTGCGCTATAAAATAAAATTTATCAAGGCTATGAGTCTATGACAAAGGCTGTCTACTTCAGTAATCGCCAATCCTCTTCGATGAACGTCAAAGAAGAGACATGCATCTAGCATTTCTCAACAAGACATAAAAATGTAGAACTTATAATGTAGTATGACGAAAAGCAAAAGAAGAGTATATCAGACTGCAAAAGAAGAAAGATAAAAACAGAATCTATTCAGGCCAAATACTTCTGGTATGTAAAAGGCATCAAGAAATCATAGCTTGCTCTCCAAAGCTGAACCCTGGGATTATGCACATGTGCCAGCAAGGGAGACAACCAAGAAGCGTCTCCAAATGGTGAAGTAAATAACCATGTATAACACAATCCAAAATACCTAAAAGGAAAATAATGATGCTTCCCAGTGCAAGTTGGATGAAAGATGATCTAGAAATAGAGATATACTAGAGTAAAGGAAGGAACGAGATCTTTCCTGTTGAACCGCTTGGCAGAAAAAGACATTTTGAACCATCCCAATAACAGGAATAGAGAGGGACGAGTTCGAGTACTAGCAAACATTGTCTAATTTTCTGCAAATATTAAGCGAGGGAACCTAGTTTCACCTGACGCAATAACACGGATAAAATTCTACGTGTGGCTTCATGCGTTTCACTATCACGAGCAGTAGCAAAAGAATCAACCTGTAACAAACCAAAATAAAAAGGAAAAAGGGAAAAAGAAAAGGGCAAGCCAAATGTTAAAACCTTAAGCCAGCTTAAATGCACAAGAAACATGAAGGATATAAAAGGTAATTGCATATGACAGTGGCACGGATTTTATAACTAGTGTTAGTTACCTCATCTAGAAACACAATTGCACCACCAGAGAGCTCATTGGCAAGTGAAAAAACTTTCCCTAATAATCGTTCACTTTCACCATAATATTTTGACACGACAACCTCCAGTGGCACATATAACAACGGGACACCCTGCAATGGCAGACCACATACTCTAATTCTGCAGTGCACAAAAAATATACATATACTAAATGCCTTATTTTAAATTCAAGTGCATGAAACAAAGCTGCTTAGCAAAAAAATAAAATGAAAGGTTACATGGTACATTAATTCGTTTCAAATAAAAAGGCAGGAGGTATGTCCACTACTTATTTCAAGTCAGAGCAGAACAAAAAATTTACAGTGGCTGTGTTTGCCATCATGGCAGCCAAAGAAGCTGCCTGCAAAGATTCCTGTAAAGATAAGTGTACCCATTGTAATTCAAAGGGGGTACTCACGCTATTTTTGTCATAATCAGTTTTCCAATTTAATTTTTGAGATTGATAAAAAATTCTCTTAATTGCAAGTGACAACACTTAGAAGACGTAAGTGTGATCAGAACCACACTGACAGGCCAGTTGAACTGGTTCAAACCAGGAGGAGTGAGATTGCCGGTTTGGTTCTTAATGCCGATGAACTAGACTGAACCATGGTGAACCAGCTGGAACCAGAAGATTTTCAATTGAACTGGATTAAGAATGCTGGTTGAACCAGTTATATATGCATACCTCCACCAAAAAGAATTCAAAGTGTTGCCAAGAGTTAAAACTAGGTCACCCGACGTGGATGTGACAGCCAGAACCCCTTGCCTGTGATGACTTTTGTGATGCGTTCTTATCCAAACATGAGACTCCCCGAAATCTATTACAAATAAGCTCAACTAACAATAAGCAGTTAACCAAGTTGACCCAACTGTTGAATCAACAATCCAAGAAACAGAACCATAGCCAGGTTAAGGTTCTGTCCAGCTCTGATAACTAAAATAGCTTATTATTTTTATAAGCAAGAGAGAGAGAGACAGAGACAGAGACAGGCAGACAGAGACAGAGAAACTAATGAAAAACAAGAACAGCAATTATAAGAAGCAAAAATAGTTGCCTGTTTAAACTGTAAGAATTTTTCCCTTGGGTATTGTACTGCCTTTTTTTTTTTTTGCATGCTTTAGGCAGGTAACCATAGATGGTATCAAACAATTTGTTTTCATAGAGACTGTTGAAATATTTGAGTTACACCTTCTCCAATAGATTAAGCTTTTGGAGTAGATGGTTGTTAAACATGATATCAGAGCTGAAAGTCCTATGTTCGAATCTCACTGCCACCCTATTATTAAAAAGATTTCTACATATTAGGCCCAAAATTTAGCATGAGTGGACATGTCAAACTATAAATATTTAAATTACACCCTCTCCAACAACTTAAACTTTTGGAGTAGATGGTTGTTAAACAGAGACTAAGCCAGAGATCAATCATACCAGTCCAATAAATACTAAACCATATATTCCCATATTCGAAAAGAACCAAATTACAAGGAAAAAGATCAGCTCAATGCATATAGAACTTTAACATCATTCATATAGAATACATAGTCCCTAGCCTAGGTGGGGGCTTGCCTAGCACCAAAAAAAAAAGGAATATGTAGTCCCTACACACTCATAAATCAAGAACGATGACAGTAAAACTGCTAAAAAAATACTATGCAACCGAAAGCATATCTAAGCAACAAGTAGGGAAAATGAGAGTAATAGAAGTCTTTTAAGGAGAAGGCTAAGAAACAACTATAAAATTGTAAAAATGTTCCAAATGGAATACCGCTTGATTAGCAATTACACGAGCACAAGATGTCTTCCCGGTACCTGAAATTGAAAAACTAAAATGCATAAACTATTAACCGATAAAACAATCTGAATACTGTAGTGAAGTACTAGATACACTGGCTTGTTTCTCCTATCAGTAACGATGACATGCAAAACGTTGCGAAAAACCAGTCAATCATGAATAACAACCCCCACCCCCTGAATAAGTGACCCAATGGTTCAAGTGAAACTTTCTTTAAAAGATGTTAACATTTTATCTACCTATTTTGTGGACCTCGATCAACAACCATAAGAACTTAATATTTTGCTACACATTGGTTACGGTTTTATTTATCCTCTAGAAATAAATATGTCAAGCATTATCATAGCGATTCAAATTCCATAGCTCTGTGTGTGCATGTGAGAGAGAGAGTAGCCACTGAATCAACGAGGCCTGTATATTTATTAACCATAAACAGCCTTTTGATCAATCAAAATTAATTCTCTAAGCAATTAGGTAAACATGACAGTTGACAAAAAACCTATTCCAGCCAATCACACAAACAACCATGGACTTGGTCATTTTCTTTCACTTCTCCACCGCCCCCCCCAAAAAAAAAAAAAAAAAACTAATTGCCCACTCTAACAAACACAAACATGATGACTGGATGGGTTTGGCCCTTAAGGGTAAACAAATCATATTTTTCCCTGCAATTGAGGAGGTACCAGAGTTTTGTAGAGCACCTGACCAATCCCTACACACGTGAATCCTGCTTGCATGAGGCAATTACTGATATAAATCCTTGGGAAAAGCACCCAGAAAGATGACCCAAACTTTGTTTTCCTTTTTTAAAGGGATGACTCAAATTCAGGGAATCCACCTGCTGAATCAGTTCTGCTGCCATTATCTGGCCTAGGTTGCAGAATTGCAAAGGAAGGATGTATGTGTGTTGCATGCTTGCCAATCAAAATAAGAGTAAATGAGTCATATGCTCAACAACCACATGACAAAGAAGCAACTTCCATTATTCCCCGACTTAAACCAATCATCAAAATCATGTTATCGTGTATTTTTTCTGGACTAGAAGACAAACCTGGTGGACCTTCAAAAAGCACTGCCCGGGGTCTGTTCGTCTCAAACTTACACCGGGTCCCACGGGCAATATCATCATATACTTCAGGACTTTGTAGAGCCAACAATATTGTATCTTCTATTTCCCTACGAGTCATGACAGGCATAATATGCGGACTGAAGATTCCTTTTCATGAGCACTAAGAAATAAATTAAATGCATTACGCCAACATGTCACAAACAAATATAGCAATAAAAAAAATCATTAGGAAAAGACACCCACACCAATATCCAAAGTTATGGACATCATAGCCACAGGATTGATCTACCTATAAGAACTGATAGGAGAGCTTTTTGGCAGAGTTTGATTTGACTTCAAAATATAAACCACGCTCCTCTCCAAACAGCTACCAAACCTCAAGATTCCTCCTGGGAAACAATTCACCTAGCCAAACAGACTGCCCCCTCATTGGCTAACCTAGTGATCCATCTGATATCCACTTCCAAAGAAGACAAATCCTAAACCACCCTGGAATACTAAGGTGGGAAGGGCCACAAGAACAACTTCTAACCTCATCTGCATATGTACATTGATTTAATAAACCCTTAAAACCAATAGGCAAAAAAATGTCACTTGTTTTCTGTCTAATTGACCAAATCAGTGTCACATGCTTTTGAATAGTTTGTGTTGCGTATGGAAACAGCAGCATTTAAAAATTTCTATTGCACACACACATTAATAACAATAACACGCCAGAAAAATACATAACAACAAATAGTAAGCACTTGATTAGAAAGCATATAAAACAACTTCTGTGTATGCTAAAAAGGTAAGCCACGCCAACAAATCCTACTGTGCATGTTTGATTACACATGTATGTAAGCATAAATGCAGTCAAGCATCTTTCTCATCTGTGCTTATTTAATTTTATGAACTTTGCACTTACCAAAAAAAAACATATGAACTTTGCACCATAAAGTCAGTTGCATATACAACTAACAGGCAACAAGAAGCTATTCATATTCCTACTGAGTTTATAAATCTCAAGAGTAAGAATGACAAAAATCGAACTTGGCATTTTCACTGTTGCCCTTCTTGCAATCAGAGCCCACTTTATGATAATTGCTCCAGGCTTGCATTACAAGCACTGGAAAGGAAGCTGCATACTGAAAGTAGCTGATAGTATGGCAACAAGATAATTCATGTCCTAGTACATAGCATACCGTTTTTGCTGACTGTACCCAGCAATATTGTCCCATGATCTTTCAGTTTTTGAGTATCCCACATTGGGTTCATTAAGTCCGTAAATCTTTATTCCCATTGCCTCAAGACTAGCAACTGTTTTGTCCATAGATGGCAACCGGGCAGCATCTCCCCTTGGTCTTCTTTCCAAGGTCCTTTGTTGTCCAGCTAATTGCAACAAGGATACTAAAGCATCAAGCTCCTCGGCACTAAAGCTCCCTTGCTTTATGAACTCAATTTCCTGCATGCATATGTGCAACTAAATGAAAACAAAAGGAGACAAGTGTTTTTTTGGCAAATTAACTGCAGCATAAAAAATACAAACAGGAACTCCAAAAAAAACCCATGTGATAAACAACTAGGAATGAAGACTAACTGCTTTATCAGAGCTAATGAGCGACCGAAACATGAGAATGTATAGCTCTCCCTCCAGTGCTTTGGTATCCTTTGACTGTCCCAGATTTTCACCAGTTTTCTTTTGTTTTTCTGGACTACTGAGTGTTAGCTGCCAAGCAACCCCACTGAAAAGGGGCACAATAAATCACATCAACATTAGGCATTGGCTATAACCACTTAACCAGCTCAGGAGAGAGTCATAGCTACTCCTAGCCTATTAGGACTTGAGTACAACATAAGCAGTATTTCACAAGTCACCTGGAGCTAAGACAAGTAATCTAAGTCTATATTAAGAATGTAATAGACACCAAAAGCACAAAAAAAACCAAAGTTCTGAACAAACCTATCCCAAGCCCGCAATGACATATCCAATCCAGTGCCACGCTCTTCAACCTTTACTCCAAGACGTGAAACAAGATTTGCAATTAGGAGTGGAATTTCACAGGTAGGAGGAACTTGGAATCTGATAGTGACCTGCCAACGAGACATCTGTTTAACTAGAAAGCAGTAACAGTCATAACTAAAACAATGGAAGAAATGCAACCTTTCTGAAAATAGGACAAACTGTAAACACATATTAGACATACTATAGGGAATTCACATGGTAATGCAGAGAGAGTGTGGAGTGTATTATCTTGTTTAAGGTATCCCAGGTTATGCCGAGTTCTGTGGTAGACTTACTGTAGTCTTGACTGTGGTTAGGGTAGACGTAGGTAGACAAGTTGCCTGAAAGTCAAAAGGCCGCCCCTTTATATCTTTCTTCTGGTTTGTGGAAAGAGAGGAACCCGAGATTATTTAAAAGTGTTAATGCTTGAGTTTCACTCTCTGATTGATTCAGTGATCTTTTACTAATTGTTGTAGGATAAAAATTATAGTTGATCCCTGAAAATTTCCTTCGATTTTAATTTGGTCTATGAACTTTCAATTATCTCAATATAGTCTCTCAACTATCAATTTCGTCTCAATTATGTCTTTACATCAATTTTCACTGTTAGATCAACGGAAAACTAGCCCAATTTGATCTATTTAAGGGTTGATCTAAAGGTGAAAATGGTCGGAAGCATTTAATAGAGACAAATTTAATAGTTGAGAGAATTGAAAGTTTAGGGACCAATTAAAATCGGAGGCAAAGTTCAAGGACCAACTATGATTTTTACCCAATTGTTCTACAATTGCCAAGACTCGAGCTGCCCTGAATGGAGCTTTCTAGTGGATCTTATAATGACGAAGATGGTGATAATAACCTAAAATTGGCAGCATCAAGTTTGAGATCTACCAACTTTATGTGGATATGTCAACGTTAGATCAATATCCAATATACCCTCCCAAGCAGCAAGACCGAATGAGGTAAGGGCATTTTACAAGTGAATTACAGCAACAAAGATAAAAATGCTTCTAAGAGGAGGAGGAGGAGGAGGAGAGAAAGAAGAAGAAAACCAAAGAAATAAACCAAAGTGGCCCACTCCACATGAATTGAGTCAAGAGAGACCATAGTCACAGTAGTGCATGAAATCAAACTACATATGATGTGGACCACCAATACCTATTTCCTGAGAAGATTGTGAGTAGTTCTTTTATCCACTGCTAACGCCTCGCAGGAAGAAGTTTTTCATAAAAACATAAACTGATGAGGGAACTCATTGCATCATACAAGGGTCTAAGGAAAGACACTCACAACATATTGTCGCTAAGCTCACAAACTTAACTGAAGGCATTCAACTAAAAAATTAAGATCTCTTAAGTGATACCATGAATACTAAAATTATGCTTAGAGATGAAGTGTAATTTCAAACGGTATCATCCACCATCATTTAAAGGGAACCAAAGTATCAGCAAAAGTATCCACCACCATGCTTCAATTGTTTTCCCACCGTGATCCCCCATCAATTCTAAAAGTTGGGATTTTTAACTACCAGTGGAAAAGAGAAGCCACCTAGTAAAATATACCAAATCCGCAATTTTGGCAGCATTCTAAAAGCAGTGAATGCATTAACCTTTGGGCCCTTAACAGCAACAGTGAAACGAGGATAAGAACCGGATCGCATTCCTTTGCTTTTAAGCAACTCTTCCAATCGAACTCTTTCTCTCCTGGCAGTTTCCTCCAAGTCCACATAATTCGTAGGCAATTCTGGAGGCAAAGGAGTTTTAGCACTGGCCTGCAAAAAAGTAAGCCCACAACCAAATCAATTCATAAAATTCAGCCTTGGTTAAGTGAGTATTCAGAAAACCTGATGTTCAAAAATTTATCAATTTCATGTTCATTTCATGAGTAAATGAGTAAGGAGTTGTTTGATAACACCACTTAATACTTAAAACTAAATACTTTAAGCACTTAATGAATTTTACCCCTTTGATAACTTAAAACTCATACCACTAAAAAATTTAAGCACTTCTCTTAAAAATAGGCTAAAATTTTAAATAGTAAGTCACCTAATTATCACTTAATGCTAAAAATATTTGTCAACAAAGATTTTATAAATTTCTCATAATGAACAAATATAACCTCAATGCATTTTACACACTTAACTTTTCAATATCAACCACCACCACCACCTCCATTGTGTCGCCGCCACCACTATCATTGTGGTAGGAATAAAGTAGTTACGGTAAAATAGTTAAAAAGAAGGGAAAAATTAGAATAATAATACTTTTTAGCCTTCAGCTCTATATATTTGTCAAATAGTTTGATTAAATCCAATACTTAAATTTCAGTGGATACCTAACTGTCTGCAAATTAAAAAATTCTGCGTCCAATACTTAAAATTCAGCGTTTACTTTTTAGTATTTAACTTTTAATTTTGCCAATCACCACCTAAGTCGGTCACTCCAAGATATAAATGTACTTTTTATTGATTGTTTTAACTATAAACGCAAACATTAACCGAGTGAAAAACTGACAGCAAGAAGTATTTATAGATTCCTAACCCAAAACATGGTAACAAAGCAATACACTGTCACACCTGAAACTAAGAAGGCTAACAATCCCTTCACAGAAAAAAAGGTTCATACAAACCTCATCAGCATCTGCATAAGCTACATCTAGCACTCCGATTCCAACCAATCCAGCTAAGATAGCAGGAACAAAAAATAATCCAGGAAATTCCTTTGGTGGTCCCTGACAAAGACCTTCAGATGCATAGGTATGGATGTGCTGCTCAAAACTCCCTACAATGATCACAGTTAGTAATAGACAGTACTATGTCACGAAAGAAAGCTCCCAATACATCTGCGCATTCTTTTTCTTATAAGTCTCCCTTTAAGAAGAAAAAAAAAATCCCATAGAAATAGGTAATGTGAATTTTTTGTTGGGCTTTTCTTTTATTGTGTTTCAAAACATGTAATTAGTTAGGCCTACATTATTTTATTTTCTAAGCCCATGAATTTTTTTGTTTTGTCTTTGCAAAGCCCATAGCCCAACTCCTTTGTCTTTTTACCGTTGGAGTAGCTTACAAGAGAAGCTATCACTTTATCTTTTTTGGCTAGACAGAGACTTCGGCTCATTCATGTTCTCTTACAATTGTTGCTTCAAAATTCTCACATTCTCTTTAGAAAAATTTTGTTGTGCTTCCACAAGGAAGTATAAAAAGGGTTGTTAAACACTCTTCACAACAAGTGTGTGTTGGTGGAGGTGAAGCTATAGAAATCTTGGGAGGTTGTCGTGTCGAGGACTTATCACACCGAGTCATCAACTTCAAAGGGCGCGAATCAACCTTTAAGGACAAAACTTCGGCTTGATCTATAATTTGGTGAGATCGTTCCTTTATTTATATTTCATAAATTGTGATTTTAAGACAAATTATTTTTGGGTCTAATTTCTTGGGTCTTTGTTTTAAGAAATTAATAGTGCAAAATTTTTATTTTTTTTCATCATTTTATTGATTTATTAAATAAATTACACAACATTCTTAAAGGTTGATTTTTGCAATGGATACACAACTTCTTGCACAAACAAAGATCTTACCCGATGCTTCAAAAATTGAACCTTTTGATGGAAATAATTTTTGTAGATGAAAACAAAAGGTTCTTGATGTCTTGGATTTTTTGAAATTATCATTTGTTCTAACCGAACCTAGACCCGATAATGATACCGAAAATTATGTTCAAGCTTTAGAAAATTGGAATCTTGCCGATAAATTATGCTTGAGCACTATTCGTAATGCTTTGTGTAATGATCTATTTGATGTGTATTGTCATATTGAGAATGCTAAATTTTTGTGGGATGAGTTGATATCAAAATACGAATTTGAGGATGAAGGTACTAAGAAATTTTTGGCTATTAATTTCCTTCATTACCAAATGGTCGAGGACAAGACCATTACATCACAAATTTATGAGTTTCAAAATATAATAAGGGTTGGCCAAAAAGGGTGATGTATTACCCAAGAGATTCAAGACTCAATGCCTTGTCGAAAAATTACCAGAGTTTTGGAGAGAGTATAAACTCAAATTTCGACAAAAGAGAAATGCTATGACATTTCAAGAGACTGTTGTCCATATTAAAATTGAGGAGAAAAATAGACTTTTACAAAAGTTTACCCAAGCCAAGAAAATGGTGTCCAAGGCTAATATGGTAGATGGTGGACCAACTAGAATCCCACAACACCAACAAAATAGGAAGCATGGCCAAAAATCTAATTGGAGACCTTACAACCATAACAATAAAAATAAGTCTCACATATCTAATCCTCAAATTCAAAAGAGAAAAGGTGAATGTTATGTTTGTGGTAAAGTAGGACATTATGCCTCAATGTGTAAGTATCGAAAGGTTGATAACAACAACAAGCCTAAATCAAAGGCTAATTTGGTAAAAACCAATGATGTCATTGTGGCGGTGGTGTGTGAGATAAACTTGGTTACAGGAGCAAAAGGTTGGGTAGTAGACTCCGGGGCCACTAGGCACATTTGTGCCAATAGAGATGCATTTGCATCGTATACTAGTGTCAAGGAAGATGTCGAATGTGTATATGTGGGTGATAATAGATCGGTACCAGTTGTGGGAAAAGGGAAAGTACTCCTTAAATTGACTTCCGGCAAAACTCTTTTACTTTCCGATGTACTACATGTTCCTATGATAAAGCACAACCTTGTATCGGTTCAATTACTTGGAAAGGCCGGAGTCAAGATCCTCTTTGATGGTGGTATTGTAACTTTGTCTAAAAATGACATCTTTGTTGGTAAAGGGTATCTTGACCAAGGTCTTTATGTGTTTAATGTAAGTGAAATTATTAATGAAAATGCTTCATCTTCTTGTGCATACGTGGTTGACTCTCTTGATATGTGGCATAGTAGACTTGGACATGTGAACTTTGGATATTTAAAGAAAATGAAAGAAATGGAATTGATTCCTAATGTGTGTGAAACTAATATAGACAAATGTGAAATATGTGCTGAAACTAAGTCCACTAAGAAACCATGTAAATCCATTTCTAGAGAGAGTGAACTTTTACAATTAGTTCATAGTGACTTGGGTGATTTGAAAAATACTATGACAAGAGGCGGTAAAAGATTTTATGTGATATTTGTTGATGATCATTCAAGGTTCACGAAACTTCATTTGTTGAGAACTAAAGATGAAGCACTTGAGATGTTTATAAAGTATAAGACCGAAGTTGAAAATCAAAGCAATAAAAAGATTAAAAGATTAAGAACCAATAGAGGCGATGAATATGAATCTAATCTTTTTAATGAGTATTGTGTACAACATGGCATAATTCATGAAGTTACTCCTCCTTACTCTCCCGAATCTAATGGCATTGCGGAAAGGAAAAATAGAACACTAAAGGAGATGATGAATGCTATGTTAGTTATTTCGGGGCTACTCACCAACATGTGGGGGGAGGCTATCCTTTCGGCATGTCACATACAAAATAAAGTACCTCATAAGAAAACCAGTAAAATACCTTATGAACTTTGGAATGGACGTCCACCTAATTTGGGATACCTTAAAGTGCAGGGGTGTTTGGCAAAGGTTATGTTACCCGAGCCTAAAAAGAGAACAATAGGTTCTAGAACTTGTGATTGTGTATTTATTGGATATGCTTCTAATAGCACCTCTTATAGATTTCTTGTGATTAAAAGTGACATTATGGAAGCCAATACTACTATTGAATCCAATAATGCCACTTTCTTTGAGAATGTGTTTCCTTTGAAAGTTCATGAACCTAAAGATACTCAAGAACATGTTAGTGGCTCTTGTGGTACTGAGAATGAGGTACAAGAGTTGAGAAAAAGTAAAAGAATAAGAAAAGAGAATAGCTTTGGTGATGACTTTTATGTCTATATTGTGAATGATGAACCAATAACTTATAACGATGCTATAACTTCTATAGATGCACCTTTTTGGAAGGAAGCCATCAATAATGAGTTAGAATCTATTATTGCTAATCACACGTGGGAACTTGTGGATTTACCTCCTAAAACTAAGCCTATTGGTAGTAAATGGGTGTTTAAGAAGAAATTAAGACCGGATGGGTCTATTGATAAATACAAGGCACGATTAGTAGTTAAAGGCTATAAACAAAAGGAGAATGTTGATTATTTTGATACTTACTCCCCGGTGACTAGAATTGCATCTATTAGATTGTTATTTGCCATTGCTTCTATTCATAAGCTTGTTGTACACCAAATGGATGTGAAAACCACATTCTTAAATGGTGATTTAGAAGAAGAAATTTACATGGAGCAACCCGAGGGGTGTGTAATTCCCGGACAAGAGCATAAAGTATGTAAATTAGTGAAGTCCTTATATGGACTAAAACAAGCTCCTAAACAATGGCATGAGAAATTTGATAAAGTGATGTTATCAAATGGATATGTGATTAATAGTGTTGATAAATGCATTTATTTTAAATGCTTTAATGATGGAGTTATTATTATTTGTCTTTATGTTGATGACTTACTTATATTTGGGACTAGTTATAATGTTGTGATTGCTACCAAGAATTTTCTTGCATCTAATTTTGATATGAAAGATATGGGTGATGCTAGTGTTATTTTGGGAATCAAAATCTTAAAATATAACGATTCCATTATTTTATCACAATCTCATTTTGTTGAAAAAATGCTTAAGAAGTTTGAATATTATGAGTGCACACCCTTATCTTCTCCTTATGATGCTAAAGTGCATTTAGTGAAAAATAATGGTGATAGTGTATCACAAAGTAAGTATGCACAGATTATTGATAGTCTTATGTTTTTGATGAATTATACTCGTCCCAATATTGCATATGCCGTTGATAAATTGAGTAGATATACTCATAATCCTAGTGAGGATCATTGGAATGCAATTTCAAGACTAATGAGATATTTGAGAGGCACCATTGATTATGGTTTATCCTTTTGTGGTTATCCTTCTGTGCTAGAAGGTTATTGTGATACTAATTGGATTTCTGATACAGATGAGTTAAAGCCTACTAGTGGTTATGTGTTCACACTAGTTGGAGGGGCAGTCTCTTGGAAATCATCCAAGCAGACAGTGATTGCGAGATCCACCATAGAGTCAGAATTAATAGCTTTAGAGAAGGCTTGTTCCGAAGCAGAATGGCTGAGGAATTTTTTAGTGGATATTCCTGTATCATTATTTACTAATCCAATTCCACCTATAATTATACATTGTGATTGTCAGACTGCCATAGCTCGAGTTAAAAACAAAATATATAATGGGAAGAGCCGTCACATCCGGATGCGACATACTATTATAAGGCAGCTTATTGAGAATGGTACCGTGTCCATGGACTATGTGAAATCAGGGATGAATTTTGCGGATCCTTTGACTAAGCCACTGGCGAGGAGGCTAGTGAGCGAGACATCGAGGGGGATAGGACTGTTGCCTATTTTAGAGACTATGTGATTGATACTCAACCCCTATGATAGGTGATTCCACTTATGGGGTTAAATGGGAAACAAAGTCACAGACAGTCTCAGAGGGGCACTGTCACTTATTATTATCCCACTTAGGCGTCGAGGCCTAATGTGAAGGTCCATCCCTATGGTGTCATGACAGTGCCGCTGCAGTGAGAAGGTTGAGTTGTTGCTCTTAATAGATCCATAGTCCCTAATTATTGGGATGGAGTGTTCAACTGTAGCACACTCGTGATGGATGCTACCTATATGTGTGTGAAGGTGGAGCCGCCTTCTATGTGACATGGGCAAGTCACTAGAGCATACATAAAAACCCAAGACAGGCGCATGGCCGGTATTTATGACGCCAACTCGCATATGAGAACAACCCTAATTAGTGGAAGGTATGTGAATGGTGAGTTGGTTCATTCACATAATGGGATATGGTTAAAGAAGTCTAACTCTACCATTATTTCTGTGGATTGCTGTCACTTATTCTAGATAAGGTTAAAGCTTATGTGGTACCTTATTGACGCATGCTTTCTCTTGTTCCTCCTTTATCTCATTTGAATGTTTTGAAACACGTGGGGGATTGTTGGGTTTTTCTTTTATTTTGTTTCAAAACATTTAATTAGTTGGGCCTACACTATTTTATTTTCTAAGTGCATGAATTTTTTTGTTTTGTCTTTGCAAAGCCCATAGCCCAACTCCTTTGTCTTTTTACCGTTGGAGTAGCTTACAAGAGAAGCTATCGCTTTATCTTTTTTGGCTAGACAGAGACTTCGGCTCGTTCATGTTCTCTTACAATTGTTGTTTCAAAATTCTCATCTCTCTCTTTCATTGCTTCAAAATTCTCGCATTCTCTTTAGAAAAATTTTGTTGTGCTTCCACAAGGAAGTATAAAAAGGGTTGTTAAACACTCTTCACAACAAGTGTGTGTTGGTGGAGGTGAAGCTATAGAAATCCTGGGAGGTTGTCATGCCGAGGACCTATCACACCGAGTCATCGATTTCGAGGGACACGAATCAACCTTTAAGGACAAAGCTTCGACTTGATCCATAGTTTGGTGAAATCGTTCTTTTATTTATATTTCATAAATTGTGATTTTAAGGCAAATCATTTTTGGGTGTAATTTCTAGGGTCTTTGTTTTAAGAAATTAATAGTGCAAGAATTGTTTTTTTTTTTTTCATCATTTTATTGATTTATTAAATAAATTACACAACATTTTTTTGGTATTACAGTCAGGGGTGTTCCACTCCCCAGTTCGATGAAAGGCAAAGGCAGGCTAACCATGACAGGCTAGTCTGGCCCCGAATTCAGGATGTCTCTAGAGTTAGTAATGTGAATTATGATCATCAATGATTGTCACAAGTAAGTAAATAAATTACAAGAAATGATAAGCTTTGCTCAGAATTCATTCAATTAATATTTAAAACGAATTTAAACTACAAGAAACAAATAAAAAAGGGTTTAACCGTAGAAATTCCTAACCAGTAAATGAAGAATCAATGGACTTTCTATTCAAAATTAAAACCGAACACTACAATCAAGCCGCGACAACAAGTTCGAGGAGGACTAAAGAGAATTGAAACAAACATTAATTCTACACACATCAAAGCTGACTCTGAATTTAAGCCAAAAAACACATTATATACACATACGTACATATATCACGAGAGAGAGAGAGAGAGAGCGTACGATGAGGGGGTAGTTGATGAAGGTGACGAGATGGACCATTGGGAGGAGGAGTTAGGGTTCTGCGAGAGGCAATTGTACGGAAAGTCCGGAGTGTCGTAGCTAGACGCCTCGTTGAAGCCATGGAGTCTCTGCGACAGTGATGATGGGTGTCACGCGCAACTTGTTGCCCAAGGGAACTCTGCCTGAATGTGTCGAGTGTCTATATATGAACTACTATTCTCTTAAATTTCGACCAGAGAATACAGAAGGACCAGTAACGAGTTGAGATGGGCCATTATATTTGGGTTGGGCTACGCATATCAATGGGCTATATGAGCCTAGTGTGTATTTTTATAAAAGTTAAATATAGAACGATAACAAGTTTTCATCCGTCTAAATCATATACTTCGAATTTGAAATCAATTCTTATCACTCACTTCTCTCAAACGCTGCAATAAGTCAAAACATTGTTTTCTAGTTATGACCTTTATTACCGTGGATTCGTGAATACTTCAACAAGGTTTCATGAATCCACGGGTTCACCACAATGGCAAACAACGTCTTCCTCCTCCCTACTGACTATGCCGTGTTGAGACAACACTGATCCCCCCTGCCCATGGCGACACCTCGAGCCTACGCTTATCACGGCCTGCCTTTAGAGTCTACGAGGGCTTTGTGAACAAAGCTTGAATCAGGTTAATCCACTAATGTTCAGTAGCTAGGGTGTTCATTTGCCATTGAGAAAATTAAAAAAATTATAGTAGAGCGGAGTTGAATCTTATAATCTCCCTCTAACAACTTTCATGGAATACAGTTTTTGACAAAATTGTATATGTATCTATGAGATCGATATCCTTTATGAACTTACAATCATCATCTTAAAAATTTTGTGAAATCTTACTCTGCAGACAAGTCCTCACTATCTAATGCAATCGAAGAAGAACCAGTTAGAGAACCACATTACATTCTGTGAAGAATATTTCATATTGCTCAGAAACTTTTGAAAGTCATTCCATCAATTAAGAAAAGAAAGGCTTTACTATTTCTTATTAATGATCTCAACCACTCAATCAGATAAACCCACAAAAAGTTTATCAAGTTTAACCGGTTAGATCATCCAAAATTTCAATTTTTTCCCGCTTTAATAACGAATATCGATCAGTGATACGTTTTTTGGACCCGTAACTATAAACAAAATTTCAAATGCCTATAATTGTTCTTAAGTAACACCTTCGGGTAATTGGGTAATTAGAACTTGGAATCTCGCCCCCATAACCATTAGGTTTTCTTTGTTAACATTAAAAAACTAGAGAAAAAATAAAAATAACTGTCAAACATCCTGAATTTAAATTTTAATAATTTTTTAATTTGTCTTTGAGTAGACCGGATAAAAAATTAATGGTGATGCGCGTAAATTCAATTAAACACACCCCATCATTGAAAGAAAAAAAAAAAAAACTGGAGGGGCATTGCAAGAAGATTAATGGAGCAACAAGCAAGCACCAGCAAAAATATGACTTAAACAGTATAATATTGGAAAATTATATATATATACATAAAAGGGTACCAAACAAATTTTAAAAAAAGAAAAAAAAGCATACAATCTTTCAAAGTTAGAGAGTAATTTTCCACTTTGATTTGCATAATTACATATCTAATAAAAACCGGAATATATTTCTGTGAATTGGAGGACTGAAAAAGGGAAAAAACCAAAAATAGTTACTTTACTGATAACGAGAGAATTAATAAACTTTTTTAGTGAAGAGGCTTCGCAAGTTAAACAGATTGGTGCCGCGCCCACCATCACCGGATACTCCTCCGCCACTCTGACCACCACCGGTGTCACCAGCCACGGCGGTGACACCGACTGCACTGTTCTCATCACTTCTACAACTCAAATGATGTCGGTACCCAATACACATCGGAACATTTAAATTCAAAACCTTAGGCTTAGCCGCACCACCTACACAGACGCCGCCGCCGGCTGTGGCGGTGGTTTTGATCCTGGAAGTTTCATTTCCTTCTTTTTTAACACCCTTTTCAGCGTTCCTGATTACAGCCTCGGAGCCGGAGCTCTTCCCACCAGGAGGACCACGCCGGACCTGCCAAACCGGACTACTCCGGCCCAAGTGGACCCCACCACGACTCGGGCTACTCGGCCACTTCCTGGACTTGGACTCACCAGCTGAGTTACTCCTCGAACACGGTGCACTACTCACCTTCCGAGACGCCGCCGATCCGGTGGCCATCTTCGGCCTTGTACCACCATTCCCGGCCGATCTACTCCTAGAAAACGGCCATATGTTTATATTCAGCTCTGCCGAGCTTGCACCGTTATTGCCATTACCGCCAGCATTCTTTCGCTCTTTTTTCTTGTCTTTCTCTTTTTCTCTCTCCTCGTTGCTTCTAGGCAGATTCTTCTTCTCTGTCTTCTTGAATATGTCTTTCCATCTCTTTGAAGGAGACAATGTGTTGGATGACAAGTTGGCTGCTGAAGTTGATAACTCAGGGCCTGAACTGGGTTCTGAGTTGGGTTCAGGTTTTTGCGGTGGTGGGTCTGAGTTGGGTGGTTCAGGGTTTGTATCCGGTGGATCGTCGGAGTTTTGGTTGTGGAGGAGGTGGAGAGGGAGAAGAACGCCGTCGGCAAACAACTCGTCAGCGGAGAGGAGGTTGGGTTGAGGGAAAGATGGGTTTCTCACCATCCAAAACTCGAATTCCGGCGAGTTGGAGTCGCCGCTTCTTCTTCCACTGCTGCATGTTGACAGACTTTGAGGCCTTTTGGTGTCTGGCTGTTCAAGCTTCAATCTTGGGTTCCCCATTGTAGAGAGAGAGAGAGAGAGAGAGAGAGAGAGATCGAGAATGTTGAGAGTTGGAAGGTGAAGATTCTTTAGGGTCTGCGCTCTCCTGGAAGGAGAGTGAGTTCAGAGTTCGGCCCACGTAGACCTACAGGCAATAAAGAAAGGAAAGAATGATCTAATGAGAGAGAGAGAGAGAGAGTTGGGGTGCATAATGGTCCATGGAAAGAGGAGAAAACACAGGTAACCACATGCCAAACAATATCTTATCACTTTCCTTTTGTGAACTGATAAACCTAGAATAATAATAATAAATAATGAATAGAGTTAAAAACAAGTACCAATAATTTGATTTGATTCGATAAATCAGTTTTATTAATATTATAACCAAAAAAAACATGCCTTATTTTAGTGTTTTTTTACTTAATATGGTATTTTATATAATCTATTATAAATTAAAATAAATTTCCATTTAATTTTCACAAAGTTTTTAATTTTTAGTGCACTTATGTGTAGTAGATTTTCTTAAGTAAAAAAAGTCATAATTCTTTTGACTTTTTATTATCAAACTATTCCCTTAAATCGACACGAGGGTGACATCTATCTAAAATAACATGAAGCCTACACAAGACTCCACACTAATATGGTATGAGATCAACCTAAAATTAATAACTTTATATATACTCTACAAATTGAATTCATATGTAATTAGACTCATTACACTATTTGAATAAGTGAGTTAATACGAACTCCCTAAACAGCTTATTCACGGCTTAGATTTAAATATGTATAAATAACAAATGAAATGAGCATAGATTAAACAAATTTTAAGACAACAAGTATTTAACCACGATACAATCCATTCATACTTTTACTCAGACAAAATCGTGTTTCCTTGCCACAATAACAAATTTTGTGGATTTTTTTAATAAGTTTTGTAGTAACATGACTTAAAAAATATGTAACTTAAACCTTAAAAGTTAGAATTTGACCCAAAAAATTTATAATTTTCTTGTTATAAAAATATGGAGATACAATATAGTAAAAAAATATTTCAATATAGGAAAAAATTGTTAGTACCACAGTTTTCACCCTATAGTTATCATGTGTTAGAATCATGAGAGAGATTCTCTAGATCTTAAAGGAAATCCATAGATACGCTTGATTCCAAATTGTGGGGACTTTGTTTTGTATTGGATTCTTGACGAAGAATGATGGATTTTGAGGAATTAAGGGGAGAAATGGGGGACAACAGTGTAATAGTAGTTGTGTGTGTGTGTGTGTGTGTGTGAGTGATGTCATGTCATGTGGGGAAGGATATCATGATGGTGGTGTGATGCTCACATTCATGGCACCTCTTCATGGTATGTATCAGAGCGTTGACAACCACCACCAATGTGTAACTTTTATTGACACTTCAATGTCAACGTTAATTCTTCAGCGCCCCATTAAAGCGATAGCTTGCTCTCTCTCTCTCTCTCTCTCTCTGAAATTTTTGTCCATTTTGAGTGCTAGCTAAAGTGACAAGGTAGCATATCTGTCTATTACATAATTCAATTTTTGGCCCAAACAATCAACCTGCTAACATATAGAGGGTGACAAAAAGTTGAATGCTATTAGAATTTTAAAAAATTATCGATTAAATGACATATTAAGTAATAAAAATTTAAAAATAGAGCAGCAGTTATTGTTAAATAATTAATTATACGTGAGTTTATAGTGACTGATCTACTATTAAATAAAATTGTATAAAAAAATTATGTAAAAGAACTCAATCCAAATGTTTGCCGGTTTACACCCAATGCATCAAATTGATCAGAAAATTTGGCATCACAATATAGACCTTTTTTTTTGGTACAGGTGTTCAAACTTTTGTCAACTATTCGTTAGAGTTTAAATACTGAGAACTATAGCCGAACTAGTTTAAAACATATCTCTTAAAGAACAAGAGTGAATAGTTCTTAGAGAGTATGAAAAGTGTTAAATTTGAGACATTTAAATTACTTTCTTCGTTCTTAAATACCTGTCGTTTAAGATTTTTGTACAAGGATTAGGGAATCTATTAAATAGCTTTAATATGAGTAAAAAATAATCACACAAGATTAAAATAGACTTATTCAATACGTATTGAGAAGGAAATAAATATGAAAAACACTTAACCTCCACTTAATCTAATGTATTGAAAAATTAAAAGTAAATTTGGAAGAAAAAATATTAATTATATTTTAGTTTTATTAAACGACAGATATTAAGAAACAAAAAATATATATATAAAACAACAGATATTTAAGAACGGAAGAAATACTGAACACCAGACTTAGTTATTGAACCACCAATAAAGGTTGTAGTATAGACATTTTGCACCGAGTAGTATAGTATGCTCAAAGGATTAAAATTATTTAATTATTTAGTTTTTACAATAATTTGCCATTAGAATTATCGGATTGAAATTCTCTCCAATATATATATATATATAACCTATCATGTAGTTAAATGAGAACCATTATATATAAGTGAGTCATTTACTCATTAATGGTGGTATTTGAATCCGTGTATATCATATTGTCTGAAAAAAGAATTTTCTTGTTTAAAGAATTTAAAAGGGAAAGGTCAAAAAAAAAGAAAAGAAAAATCTTTCCTCACGCGCTGGCCTCTGAGAGTGGTCTGTCTTCTGTAATAATTCGTACCGTCTAATTCCATCCATCATAAAAAGCGACCATATAATAGGCTTCACGTGGCGTGGCCCATTAAGAAGACTGTAAATTACCAAACATATTTTTTTAAGAGCCCCTGAAGAATATTTTTATTCTCACTTTGAACCCTCAATTTCTAATTATGTTGTTTCTATTCTTACGATTTCTAAATTCATTTTGAACATTTCAATTGTCAACTTCCGTTCAAATTATTAAGAGAAGCTAACACTTCAAGATTGTCATCAAAACACATAACTTTGCTTGTTAATTGTTTGGAGTAAAGTTAATATAGGACCATTAATTTTTTTTTTAAAAAAAATTGACGATAGAAATGACAAATTAAAACTTGCATCGCAACCCAACAAAGTTGGGTTAGCTTTAGAGTGAATCGTGAACGCGAACATATTGGTTTCAAGTTTCAACTGTGGTTGATAACTCTTGCATTTCATGGCTTGATTCTAATTAATTATTAAAATTTAAATTCAAAACGTTTAAATTTATAACTTATTTCTGTTATTATTTAATTTATCCAACTCTGGCATTTCACCAATATCCGTATCGCAGCGGTTGAGAGAGTGGGACCCATTCTGATGAAACTAATCAACGACCAAGATCACAGATTCAGGTGGGCCCCAGTAGGAAAGGACGATGATGTATAACAGTACAAGGGATATTTGGTTAATGGTGTTTGTTTGGATGCAAAATGATAAAGAGTCATGTGGTGTGCAGGGTAAAACAGCGTTAATCCCATTTATGCATTTGGGTCCACCGCACCAAACCAAACCAAACTGTCCCCCTCTGTCTGATAGCAACTGCCACGTGCCTGATAATTAGCTGTTATTTTGCTCTAACCTTCTTGTTCCTTTCCTCCACTCCAACCATCACATATTGCATATTGGTGTTTTTTCTGGTTGTATAAAACTTTGATTAATTAATATGTGAGGTGTATAATAATTACGTGTATTCGAGTTTGTATTGCAATCTTAAGTTCTCGCAATTAAAAAGATTTAGAGCTAAAAAAATTAAAAATTAAAAATAAAAAAAATCCACCATTGCATTCATAAACAATGGTTATCATTAAATTAGAGGATGCACACATGAGTCGGTTGTTTTTATTTTTTATTCGAAGATGAAGGATGTTCGAATCAGTTTTTACATATTTTGATTAAATTTTTTTTTAATTTAATCAAAAACAGACCATCTAACTAGGGTTGCTCTGTTTCCACTTCTCTCTCTCTCTCGCACACATGTGCTCGTATGTGACTTGTTAATCTAGTAACAAGAAAATTCCAAAAGGTACATTTTTTTTGACAATATAGAATCATCCAAAACATGTGTCTTCTATATTCAGCGACAGATTTAAGATTTTTTTTTTTTTGGGGGGTTCCAATTCCAATTTTAAAAAAAAAAAAAAATGGGCTTCTTATAAAATTGTAAAAAATTTAAAATTATTTAAAATTTACCCCCATTAAAAGGTTAGTCAAAAAAATATAAAAATTGGATTCAAGTGTGGCCCCATATTATTGCATACACAAACATACTAATGAACATTGAGTTTTTAAATTTTTTTTTATAAAAATTCAGATATGAATTATAAAAATTAAATTCATTAGATAGTCAAATAAACTACGAAATTTTGAAATCGAATTCAAATCAATTAAAATTTTATCCAAAACTTATTGTTGACAAATCCAAGGATTGAAAATGGTCATCATATCATACTTTTCAATATAATAATTGCCCCCAAGGTAAAGAACTCATGGCTTTGCCTCTGTCTGCATTTGCATTCAAGATTACATGTTTAAGATGAAAAATGAATCCAAAGATTTCCAATTATTTTGTAATTAGAGAGGAGTCAAACCCGATTTTTAGTGCTAAAATAAAATTAAACAAAATGACTTTGTGATCTGTAATGACCAATTTAATGGGACTAGAATGGAAATATATTTAGGGTTAATTGTATTAGAGGTACTCAAAGTATAAAGTTTGTCTATTTTTAATTTTTAATATTTCAATTGTATAATTTTAGTCCCTGAAAATATTGAATATATTTTTATGTGGTCTCTTAAGCAGATAACATCCAAATTGTTAATTATTTTTAATCATAAACTTATCGCGTGAAAATTAAATACGGACAAAAAATAATTTATGTAACTCTTGACCAAAATTTGATAGCTTTTGACAAAAAATGTGTGATATGAGTAGCTCTTGGCTAAAATTGGATAGTTCATGATCAAAACTGTATAATTTAGATAACTCTTTGACCAAAATTTGGATAAAAATTTAATCAATAATTATTCAAATTATTTTTTAGGTTAATTGCTTTTTAAC